GTCCTCCTACTTTTGGCAAGGATTATGAATAGTCAGGTTCTAGCAGCCTTTAGAACTTTATCATGACAATCTAGATTCCACTCTAGGTTGCTAGAGAACTCTCTTGGGTCACATCTCTAACAAGGTACTTAGGACTCATTTATACTAAAAGACTTGGAGTACCCTCCAGTTATACAAATCTAGTTACATAAGGAGGATTAATGAATTAGATAATACTTTTCTTAAGACCAAGAATGATTTTCCTTTGAGGGGATCCACTGAGAAAGTGACAATGGTAGAAATAAGATGAGCAAGCCCTAGTTTGCCTGGCAAACATTCTCTGAACTACTTTGTTCTCGCCCTAAATGAGCAAGCAAAGGCTCTGTTAGGAGACCACACACACAGCAGCTTATGGAGTTTTATTTGCCTTGTGCGGTGCTTTACAAAATATTAGTTGCAAAATTTCAATGATCTGGGCATTGCCTATCGATTTCTGGATTTCTTGTTTCTTTTGTGTTATTGAAAAATATGCCCACATTGGGCTAAATTTCTTAATGGTAACAATGGGAAGTAGGTTGCTGATTTCAGTTATTTGAATAACTAAGAAAGGAATATCTGTCCTCTTATAAGTTTAGCGAGAAAAGTCTCCCCTTATACAGTCAAGTTTTTTGTTTTTGTTTTTGTTTTTTCAAAAACTTACCAGTAATGGTCCTGACTTCTGGTTTTTTAGGTTCTGATCTCCTTAACTCTTTAGGTAACAAGTTGTTTTCATTATGCCACTTTTTCAGACATTGTGGTTCATGGATGGCAATAGATTTTGTTCCATATTCACGACCACAAATGTAGCAAACAACTGTTGGTGGACGCCTTATCATTGTTGGCTACAAGTAATATAAAATATCTGTTAGATAAAGTTCAGGTGTAGAAATTATACTTTAAAATTATAATACATTCAAATTAACTAGACAATCACATTAAAAAAATTCCAACCACCAGATAAATTGAACTTTTTTGGCAATTAAGATAATAAACCATGTCATCTGAGTGATTGGGGTGGGAGTAAGGACGTGGGTTTGGGAGGATAATAGGAAATAAAGAGATCATCAGAATTCTACAAATTGGTACTTTATAAAATGTGTTTTCTCATTTAATAATTATTGATCACTTATTTTCTGGCTATTTTCAACACTGGCAGAGACTATGGAAATAAATCAGGTATCCTTTCAATAAAGTCAGGGTCTAGTATGCCAATATTCCTGAAAAGTAGAGTCCCAAGTGTCATTGGAGAGTTGAGAACTGACACTGTATACCACCTGAACAACTTCCTGTGATTCTAGGCCTTTTTTGATATGGACCAGGCTCCACCCCCAGGCAGGATGGTTAATCAATCGCATTTGGGAGTTGGTTGATAGTAGCCACTTCTCCACCAAGCCATGCTCCAAGAGCCCCCCACCTCCACCTGTCCATCCACAGTAGATGGAAAACAGCGTGAGTAAAGCCTCAGGGATGAAAACCTGAAGGTGAATACAGAGAAAAGCAACTAACATAAAATATTTTTATTAATAATAACAAATAGTTGCCTGGCGATCAGTGTAGCCTTGAGAACTAGAAACAGATGATTCAGCTACAGTCATGCTATGAACAACCGTGTTAAGATCTGGGGCAGCCCTGGTGGCCCAGTGGTTTAGTGCCCCCGTCAGCCCAGGGTGTGATCCTGGAGACCAGGGATCAAGTCCCATGTCAGACTCCTGCATAGAGCCTGCTTGTCCCTCTGCCTGTGTCTCTGCCTCTCTCTCTCTGTCTGTCTGTCATGAATAAATAAATAAAATATATTTTTTAAATCTGGATTTTGTCTTGTAAATAATATGAAACTGTTACATAGGGGACTAACTTATAAATGTACTTCAAAAAAATTAGTCTGCCGATAATGTGTATCAAGGGCTGTCTTGGCACCATGTCTTGGCACCATATCTATGAGAGCTTGAACGTCCATGTGGCTCTGGGGTAAGGAAACAGAAAGGCAAGTTGGGGAAGGAGAAAAAATGGATTCTGTTCTGGACCTGTTGCATTTGATAACCTAGTAGAATTCAAACATAGTCCAGCTGAAATAGCAAATAGAGGCCTGCCATTCAGAATTCATGGATTTCAGAGCTATGCACATAAAGAAGATGTTTAAAACCATGAAAATTCCAGAAAAGGAGTATATAGAGAATGTATGAAGGTAAAGTCCTGAAAGCATGTCTACAGTAAAGAGACTGGTCAAGGGAAATCACAGCCTAAAAAGATAAAGGTTCAAGTTCACAATTAAAGAAAAAGGGCATGAAGACAAAGGACTCCACTCAGAATTCTGGACACACTTCTGGTTTCTAGAAATGTGGTGTCAATAGTTCTGTCCAATGGCACACTAAGTAATGGGGAGGTTGAGGAAAGTCACTAGATTTGGTTGCCGACAGATTATATACCAGTAACTTTTGAGGGTTTAGCTCCAATGGACAGATAAGGATAACAACTAAACTACTAGAAGTTAAGGATTAGGTCAAGGAGAACAGAAATCCACTTTCAAAAAGTTTGCAGAAAGGAAATTTGAGAGGTAGAGTTGAAGAAAGATCCATTTTTGAGGTGCCTCGCTGGTTGACTTGGTTAAGCCTCTGACTCTTGGTTTCCACTCAGGCCCTGATCTCAGGGTCATGAGATCGAGCCCTGCATCGGGTTCTACACTCACTGGAGATTCTCCTGCTCTCTCCCCTGCTCTCTCTCTCTCTCTCTCTCAAATAAATAAATAAATCTTTTAAAAAAGGTCTGTTTTGTTGCTGTTTTAGGGGTAGAAGTGTCTGAGGTAGAGACAGCCTGTTAGGACTCAGAAAAGAGGGATAATAAGAGAACAAGGTCTCAGAGGAGGTATGAGGAGATGGGATCCCGGGATGTAACTGGAGATGTTAGCCTCCAAGGACATAGAGAAAAAGTGAAAGAGAGATGGATGATCAAGAAGGGAGGCATAAGTGGAGCTCCGACAGGATGAATTTAGTCTTCTAAGTATGAGGCGAACCATCTTCAGACAATGAAAAGATTTGGATTCCGGGAATTAGAATAGCAAAAATTACTGAGATTTTTGAAAAAAAAAATCTGGGATTTCTCTTAGCACTGCAGAGAACATGATAGTAACTCAATTAAGGAAAAATACTCACCGAATAATGGGAAGACCCAGTTAAGCTGAGCAGCACGAAACTTCAGTGGAATGAAATGACCTTTTCCAATAAGTGTGTAAGTAGCACTGGGTGGCATGAAAACAGAAACAAATTAAGTTGGTGGTGTGGTTTCCTTTGGGTATATATAAAAAAGGGTAAAATGTGTGCATGTTGGAGAATCAGCCAGCTTTTCACTAAGGTAATGGGGGTTACACCTGCAGTGGAAAGAGCAAAATCAAAATAAGAAGGAAACACGTTTCTGGTTTCTGCATACCCAAGCAGATATGACAAGATTCTAGGTGAGTAAAGCCACTGACACACACGAAGCAAAAATGGAAAGTGGAGTTACTCCTGAGATGATCCAGTTGAAAAAAACCGACACATTATTTATTAGAGGGGAAGTGGATGTGGATGGGTAAAATAAGGTAAAGGGGATTAAGAGGTACTAACTTCCAGTTATAAAATAAGTAAGTCACTGAAATTAGACAGATAGGGAATATGGTCAGTAATATTGTAATAACATTGTGACAGATGGTAACTATACTTAGTGGGATGAGCATTGGGAATAAACAGAATTGTCAGATCACTATGTTTTATACCTGAAACTAATTAACATATATCAACTCTACTTCAATAATTAAAAAATAAATTTTAAAATATTTTATTTATATATTTACCTAGAGCATGTGAGAGGGGAGAGGGGCAGAGGAAGAGAGAGAGAGAGAGAGAGAGAGAGAGAGAGAGACTCCAAGCTGAGTGCAGAGCCCAGTTTGGGGCTTGATTTCACAACCCTGACATCATGACCTGAGCTAAAATCAAGAGTCTGATACTTAACTGACTGAGCTTCCCAGGTGCCCTAAAAGAATGATTTTTTTCAAAAGCACATTATTTGAAGCAGAATGTTTTTCTTCTTTTATTCTATGCTGAATTATGCCAATAAACCACATTCATCAAAAAATGACTGAATAGGTTTTAGCCTTCTTTTTTATTAGCCATGTAACAGGATCTAATAATGCCTGAAAAGTGACTTTAAAAATATTTGGGGAATTCAAGACCTAAGAGAAAGGCTAAAGCAGAAGCAATAATTTTCAAAACATCCAACAATTTCTTACTGTTTTTTACATGTTCATTTACTCGAAGATTAATTAAATACAGGTTTTTTTAGTTTAACATGAGAAGCTTGTCTTTCTACTTTGAGAATAATGAATATTAATATTCCATATGAAAAGTATGAGCCAAATCCAGTATTTAACCAAGCATATAAGCAAAATAAATGGCACGGGTCATTAATGAAGACATTCATGTCACAATGTCAGAAGGTTTCTTTTGGAAGGAAAAATTAGAAGAAAGCAGACAGACGTAGAGGCCAGAAGACAGGCACAAAATAACTTAAAGGGATGTGGGAGAAAATTAATACCATAAAAAGGCTAAGATGTTCTATATTATATTTTCCAAAGCCTGCTCCATGCTCTATTTGTGGTTGAACTGCAGTTGAACCTGCAACACACTCCATATTCTTAGGTTTTAAACATTTTACTCCTAAGCCTGCTCTAGGGAAGTGCAAGCAAGCAACCCAGACACCAGGGAAGAGAAAAATGCATCCCTGCTGGTCTGAATGGAGATAAGAGAACTTCTTTATTTTTCATTAGTTTCAGGATTGTCAATCTGAAACTTGCAGAGAGCTGAACGATCTCCATCTCGTGGTTCCTTGCCACGGGTTTGCTCTTCAGCCTCTTTCTCTGGTGTTTTGAGATGGATTTGGGTGTGGGGAAGTTGGAGGGGAAGTAAAAGAGGAGGTGCGTGCCCCAGCGAAAAAGGTAGAAGACCCTTTCTTGGCTAAGGCACTACCGTGAGTGACTCGGCACAGCCCCAGCCCAGCAAGGCAGCGCCAGTGAAGCTTTGCCCTGCAGCATGGGGCTGACTACCTGGGGCCTTGCCAGGGCCATGGATTCCAGGAAACTGTAATCAAAAGGAAGGCAAAGAGGAAGCTGATAAGTCTAAAGTTCCTGCAGAGCAAATGGTTAGATCAACAGTTCTCCTGTCAATGTTTAAGATATTCTGGGGTGAGGCATTACTTTTTTTTTTAACATCAAAGTATAACATTCTTTAAGAACTTAAACCCCCAATCTACAGAAGGGCTCTTTCAGGTGTGAACTGTTTTATGGGGCGGGCAGCTAAATGCCCCTTAATAAACTTTTGTTAGGGCTCATCACAAATTTGCTTTTGCTTCCTGATTTCCTGGGAAAGTCTACTGAGGCTGGATCTGGACAGAGGGGGTTGAGCACTTCAGGGAAAGCTTTCAGATGTGTGTATTTCTTTTAACTTGAATCCACTAACTTTCATATGTTTCCAATCATTTTGCTGGCCACTATTGGCATTATCATTTTATTTTCCACGCAGCAGTTTTTTCCTCCTTTTTACTAATGTCTTTTCTCCTTCAGGAACACTTCATGTTTAATCACAGGCCAGGACTGTGCATGGCAAAGGAAAGAGGACATTTAACAACTTTTCTCCTAGTCAGTGTCATGACCAGTCATCCACCTACTCACTTTTACAACTGAAAATAAGTAACTGTCACAACAAGTATTGGAGAGGATGCAGAGAAGGGGGAACCCTCGTACACTGTTGGTGGGAATGCAAACTGGTGTAGCCACTCTGCAAAAGAGTATGGAGGTTCCTCAATAAAGTTAAAAACAGAACTATTCTATGATCCAGGAATCACACTACTGGGTGTTTTACCCAAAGAACACAAAAACACTAATTCAAAGGGATACATGCACCCCATCATTTTCTACAATAGCCAAACTATGGAAGCAGCCCAGGGGCCCATTGATAGATAAATGGATAAAGATGTGACACATGTATACAGTGGAATATTATTCAGCCATAAAAATAATGAAATCTTGCCATCTGCAAGTGTGTGGATGGAGCTAGAGAGTATAATACTCAGTGAGTAAGGCAGTCAGAGAAAGGCAAATACCATATGATTTCACTCAGAAGTGAAATTTAAGAAAAACAAAAGAACATGAGAAAAAAGAGAGAGAGAGAAACCAAGAAATAGACTCTTAAGCCTAAAGAACACAATGATGGTGGCCAGAGGGGAAATGGTTAGTGGGGTGGGTGAAAGAGGTGTTGGGGATTAAGGAGGGCACTTGCTGTGATTGAGCACCAGGTGACTTACGGGAGTGCTGAATCACTATAATGTGCACTTGAAACTAATGTAACACCATATGTTAGCTATACTGGAATTAAAATAAAATAAAAAAATAAAAATAGCTGTGTAATACCACCATCTAAGCAATGGCAGCAGAATAAGGACCAAAAAAGAGAATGTTTCGGTATTAACCAAGGAATTGATAGAAGAATGGAAATGGTTCCAGTAATCCTAGACTAGGATATCTATTTTAATAGCCTTAGTGACCTTCCTGACAGCTCAGGCTAAAAGGTAACCCCAGTGAACTGTACAACTCGGTTGCCATAGAGCTTATAGAAGGAAGTGTAACAGCTGGTTGAAGGGGAAAAATATTCCTAACATTCAGTGTTATTGTACAAACCTTCATGAAAGAGATACTGAAAAGTGAAATCCAAGTCATTACTAGCAATTTTACAAAAGGTCAGAAACTCTACATTAGGTCATTTCTTCTATTAATCCTACAACAAAAACTAAGTAACAATAATGTGAAATTATATTTGTATGATATTATTTTTAGGAGGTTAGGGGAGCATAATCCATCAATGTAACTTTTCTGATTTACAGTTACTCCTTATAAATATGGAGTTTACATACTAATTTATACACAGAAACTCTGCCCCACAGCCATAAAAATTTATATTTAACAGTGCAACATATAATTTAATCATTTGATTTGACAAGGTGTTTTGTTTTGTTTTGTTTTCTTCTAAACACAAATAACTACCTGGTTTTCATATACATATATAATGTATATTTTTATGTATATAGATATTCAACAATCTGTACAGGTTCTAAACATAAAGGGTCAATAGACCCTTTGAAGATCTAAATGAGTTATATGAACATCTTTCCAGAAAAATGCACATGTATATGGATATGATTTTGACTGATTGGTGGACTCCCTAGAGCCCACTCATTAACCCCTGGAAGTGAGCTGTTGGACCTTTACTTAGGTCAAACTTTTTCCCCCAAATAGGTGCTTCTTTGTGTAAGGAACTCTTTGGCACCATTTAAATGCCTCAAAAAAGTGCTGAGTTGGAGCAAGAACATATGAAACACCACTTTTGGCTTTAGGGTGATCTTAAGTCCTACTTTGCCTAAACTAGTCCCCATGATACCTGTTGTCTTGACAAGTATTAATAGCTCCTTCTTGCATTTTTTAAGGTGTCTCCTTTTGATGAACAAATTCTGTAATCACTCTATTTCTGATCCCCTTTGGATACATTATTTAAAAAATAGAAGCAATGCAGAGATGAAACAAGCAGACAAGCTCAGAAATCCTGAAGCTTTGACTCTAAGACTAGCAATAGATCGAGTTAAGCTTAGAACTAAAGCAAAATGACCCTAGAAATTGGGGGTTTGAGAAAATAATTTAAAAAAAAAAGGACATCTAAAAATTGACATCTTGACATCTAAAAATACTCTATCAAAATTTGGCAAAGGACGGTGAGGGACAAAGATGTTAATGTTACTAAATTCTTTAATGTCATGATAAACTGTCACTTAGAACTGTATAAAATTAAAACCTGGAGCTACATTTTTTTCCCCAAATCTGGTAACTTATCTTTGTTTCTTAACTGTAGTGGGCCCTCTAAAAACAAATATTCTGTAGTGAATAAATAATTTTCTAAAGTTCAGGAATACTATCACCTTGTCTTTGGTTTCTTTTTGTCAAATTAAAGTAAAATTAAATATCTCTGTTTTTGCCTTTATGATATCTGTATTAATAATTTGGATATGACAACCTTGCTCCTATGAAAATATCTGCATGCCTATTTATTTATATATGTTCATACACAGGGAGAGAGATGTTTGGAGTGATAGCCACTTAAGTCAAATTGAAAGGATCTTGGAGTAATTTTTATGCTGATCATTGTACTTTCCTAACCGCTTGAATTTTTATAATAAAAATTCAATTGTGTCATTTTTATAAGAATAAAGAAAATATAAACCCCAGGGTCAAAAGTTAGGTTGGGATTAGGTAATCAGATCAGATCAGTCCTAAAAGGAAAAATCAAGTGGAGCCCAAATTACTTTCTGAACATTCCTTAAATAACTGATAAAAGATGATAATCAAGTCTGTGTATATAATCCAATCTAGTATTGTTATCAATTAGTAATTGGAACTAGAATTAATGTTTCAATGAATAGTTTTGCATAGCATAAAATAAAACTATAATGTAAAATGAAAATATTTACAGTATCTTAAATTACATTGTTCCACGAGTACCATTTTATTTTGTCAACTGTTTATACTTGAATATACATCATCCACATGCTTACATAGTGAAACTTAATTGAGGCCCTACAATTCCACCCTGTTACTTTAAAAAGTGATAAAAAAAAAAGACCTTGAAAAAAAAAAAAAAAACCCTGAAGACAGAATTTAGCATGAATTTGTTTCCACCTAAGATAATCAAAACACAACTCTTTCAGGTATTTTAATTTTGTTCAGGCTCATTTGTCTGGCTTCGCTGCATTAGCCAAAATATGATTTCAGAAATAACTAAATGAAACCATATCATATTAGCCATCTTATGCTGAGAAGTGGCAGCCAAAGAGATAATCTGGGGGGATGGATGGATTGAATCATCCCCTGGGTACTGTGTTGCCCATTTGTGGCTAGACTGACAAATCAACATAAAATTTTCAGCCTCCCAGCTGCCCCCTTCTTTTCTCTAGACTTGACTATGTTTGGTGCAGACTTAGCTTGTCTGATGTGGTACCCGGAATTTCTGTGGTTCTCTGTGGCTACAGAACAAAGGCCAAACGCTTCATGCTGACTTCATTCATGCCAACCTTAGCCCCACGAAGCAGGTCTATTCGCCACAGCAAACTCGGCCCCAGACTCCAAGCTAGAGCCCACAATCCTCAAGTTTTATTGCCCTCGTGACTTTATTCTTCTGCTCCTTCCAGCATAACTGTTTAAATTGAGGACAGCATCTTCCCCATATTGGAGGTCATGCGGAATGCCAAGCTTAGCTTTCCGTGGTAAGGGAGACTAGCGTATCAACTACTCATTCATTTAGAAGGCAAAATGTGTAAGTGCTGTGATAAACGGAGTCCCACAGGAGCCTACAGTGGGAAGGAAGGAAGGGTTTTAACCAGAAGCCAGTATAATGGGCTGCTGCACAGGTGGAAATGCACTTGACCTGTTCAACAACTGCTTGATATTACTGTAGTAAGTGAATATGAAAACGTTAAAGGAGGTCATGAAGGCATGAGAGAAAGCATGTGAGAGCAAGGAAGTAGTGTGTTCAAAATAAGTGGTCAGTCCTTGAGAACACACTCAAAGGTTGGCGCCTCTTCCAAGTGTCCTGCCACCTTCCTGCCTTGGTCCTGACCCCAGACTCCACTTTCTTGCCATTAGAAGCTAGCCAGACATCAGGCACGAGGGAGCGGTTTGACTTAACATTCTGGCAGCCAGTATTTTCTCTGCGGACAGAACTGCATTAGCCACAGCTCCACAGCTAAGGTGCTGTGTTGTTGGCCGAGGGGTGGGGTGGGGGGCAGACAGAGAGAGGGTAATGAAAAAAGTAATGAAAAGTGTCATGATTGTACTGAGATCTGAGCATAAGGATAAGGACCTCATACCTTTGAGATAGAATCAGATGAAGGAATGAATGGGTCACATGGGACACTTCATAATTCTCGTATATTAAAACCTCTTGATTTCTTTCTTGTTGAAGAAATGCAGACTGGTTCTGCCTGCCCTGAAGTAGACAGCACTCTTAAGTGATAAGAAAAACAGTGACACAAGTGGGAAGATCCGTGGATAGACAAAGTATAACCCTACCATTCCACGGGCGATCACTCAGCAATAAGAAAAGTGCTATCGCCACTTGCACCAACATGGATAACACTCAGAGCCTAGTTATGCTGAAAGAAGTCAAATGCAAAATAATACACTACCACCTGATTCCAGGGATAGAAAATCCACACTAAGCTCTAGTGCTTAAAAATCAAATCAGGGGTTGCCTGGACGTGGAAGCAGAATAAAGGTTATAAGGACTCTTCGGGGTGATGAAAACGTTCCATATCTTGATTATGGCGGTGCTGTAGCAGGTACATAAAACTGTCAAGACTCACTAAATTGCACATGTTTAATGAGTGCAGTTTATTGTTTGTGTATCATTTATAAATACATTTATAAATACACTTATAAATAAAGCTGGTTAAAAACCACTCATGCAGACCTAGTTTAGGGGAGTATTTTGCATTGCTGTGCTCATGGACTGCGGTCAGTTCCAAGTCAGAAGCACACACTGTCAGAGGAAATTGCAGAACCAAATGATGTATCTTAGAGTGACTTTTGCCGGGCACTAGAGACTATTGTTAAGTCAATGTAGATTTGAAACCCTTTAACTTGTCTCCCAAGAAATTCTTGAAAACAGAAAAAAAAAATACCATGGAAAAAAAATGAAAAAAGAACTAGAGAGAATAGAAAATGTTTTATTGAGATTTTTTTCCCCAGGACATCAAAATTTCTGCCCGAGACAATGCACCAGGAGCAACCTCACTCACATACAATTTCATTCAGAAAAGCCCAATTCTTGATTGTCAAGCCCAGCCCTGGGGCAGAGATGAATAATTTGAAAGTAGGGCTATTCCTCCATGCCCATGTGCATGGCATCTGGTCTGTTTGTAACATCACTTGCACCAGTTTCTCATCTTCCAGTAAAAGGAACTTCAAAGTCTTTTAATATGTGTGTGTGTGTGTGTGTGTGTGTGTGTGTGTGAGTGTGTGCACAAAAGACAGAGGTCAGGTCAGTCACTTTACTCAGGTGATGTCAGGGATATCCAAAGTCTCCCTTTGCTTCATACTATCCATTCCTCTACATTTTCGCTGGCCTTGTCCTTGACTTCCTCCAGCCTATGGTTATCATCTCTTGGCTCAGTTCCCTCAGGAGGAGAGAGAGAGAGTGCTGAGAGCTTTGGTTCTGGAAAGCCACAAGTACAATTAGCTATGTGTTACCAGAGAGCAGAGGAAGCCTCCCAGGTTTGCGCACTGGGAGGCAGTAGTTTGCTGGGTTTCTTTGCTGTCATGGAAACAGTTGGCCTGTTCCTTTTGAGGAGGTCATTTCAATGGTGTTGTGCCAAAGCAACCACATCAAAACGTAAGGGATGTCATTTTATTACCGAATATGTATGTAAATTAAATCCCTGCCTGTTTCTTCCATGGAACATGCTTTGCATATAACTTGGAAATGAAACCAAAAATACAGTTTTATTTGTCCTTTTCTTTAAAAAAAGTTGTACCATAATATCTTTGCATTAAAACAACCATATGTCCTGTGTTCATTTGGGGACATTCATTAATCTAAGAGTCAAAGAGGACTCACGGAACCCAGAGCTAAGAACATCCTGAAAAAGAAACTGTCTCCTTTGGTGTAAACCATGACCTTGATGAGTACATAAGAGAAAGGTGCCCCGCCTTAAGACAGTTTTCAAACCAGCTGGTTGCAATCATTAGTCTGTAATGACACAAGTCACAAGATGCAAAATTAAAAGGCGATGGTCATGGGCTACACATGACAATCCTTTCTGTCTCAGGACTTGGCCTCCTAATATTCTTATGTATGTTGACATGTACTTTGTTTCTGGGAGTGTGACTGGTAATGACCACAGTATGGTCAGTCTGTAAATATCTGGGTTAAATGAGATTTTTTTCAACTTCACAAAAGCCAGTAAAGCAATGAGGTTCTAAATATTGATACTGAAGTTGCACTCTGAGCAGAAAGAACCCAGAGACACCCATAGCATAGCTCAGGATTTTGGAAGGTTGAGACCTACACTAAGTGGAAATGCATCTGGAGGAATGCGTTGTCTGTCCGGAGGTGACTCAGTGTAGTCCAGATAGGAAGAATCTTTTGGTTACAGGCCATGTGCCAGGCACCCTGCTAGGTACAGAACCAGCAGTTGTCCTAACAGTTGGGATAACCGTACTTACTTCCCCACCTTTATTTAGAAAATGGTTTTTCACTTTTTCCCAAGCTCTTTTCCTGCAACAGTAGGTCAGGTGGACAGATCCCTATGTGGCATGCACAGAGCCCACTGCATGTGAAGTTAGTCAAGAAGCAGGGACAGGGTGACAAAGGGGCCCGCTGAGTGGAGGAAGCATTTCTTAACCTCTCCACCCACTAACATGTTGGAACTCAGAGTATAAGTTCTGAAAACCACTTTCCAGATTGTGGGATCTTTCTAGGATCCTGCACTTTTTGTGGCCCTGTAAGGCCCTGTAAAATTCTTAGAAGGTTTGACGCCTGAATGTTTGACCCACAAGAATAGCCTCATTGTCCCCAGGACTCCCATGGAGTCCAAATGGCAGTTGGCAGCTGGGGTGAGTTACTCTGTGCTCAGGCATGAAGTGTGCATGCCAGAGGTCCCTGCACACAGCTGTCACACAACTATGTGCATCCCTTCACAGGTCCCTTACAACTCAGGCTGTCCCCTTCACAGCTTCTCACCCAGGATTCCCCCCATAACTACCTCCCCTCTGCTTCATACTCTGGATCTCAGACTGTAACCTGATGGACCAATGACAATTTCAGCCAATGGGCAGGCATGTTTTACTTGATGGGCACACAGTGTTCTTAAAAGCTTTAAATGTGCTATCTTTAGGTAGGACTTCTTTTCCAGAATACCACAGGCTCTACTACACTCTATTGCCCTACATGCAGCCTACCCAAACCCGGAAAGCACTTGAGCCTGCGGTCCTGAGTAGCTATTGCTCCAATACAAAGCATTTATTTGCCTTATCTCATTTCTAAGAAATGAGCTGAACTTATGGTTAATTGGCATAAATGTGCCAATGGCCGAGGGGGGTTTGTTTTCAGTCTAGGAAATCTTTACATTGTTGCTGGGATGTCCTACAGAGTCAGTGCATTGAGTCAAAGGACTAAATCTCAGGCTGTGGAATTCAAAATTCACCAGGTAGCAGGGGAGATGTTTAGAGAAGAGGGCGTACAATGAAAATTAACAGATTGTCCCAGTGAGAATCCCCTGCTTTCTTTGAATTTAGCACTGAGGCAGTTCTGATGGAACTCAACAGGAGTCTTGAAGCCCATCCATAGGTCTAGAGAAGTTTCTACTTTAGTGGCTGAAAATGGTTTCCAAGACCGCCTAGCAATCGTGTGCACAGTAACGGTGCAAACCCATAAGATGCCTACTTGCTGGAGGATGTTTTGCTTCCCCCACTCCTGATCGCTGGCTGTCAAAAACAGGGCCTGTCCTGCCAGAGGCTGAGGGACTGTGCAGCTCTTTGGATGGGTGTCATACCATTGACAGCGTTCCTCTTTCTGCATGACAAAATTAAACAGAAAGAAGTTGGGCCCTCACTGCTGTTTTAGATTTTCCACACTCCTGATTCCTTCCATTAAGGCCAAATAATTGAAATGTCTGTGGTAAGTGCACAAGGCATATCAGAGAAGGCAGAAAGTTTGGATGGAGAAATAAAAGTAAAAGTTTTTCTCCTCCATACTTGTGGGAAAAAGAATAAAATCTCTTTTAGAAATTCTTGTGAACATTCCAATATTGAGAATATCTGACCAAGTAGCAGTTAATAATTACCCAGCACTTTCTAAGTGCCAGGCCTTGTACTAAGCACTTAACAGGCTTTAATGCCGATAATTCACATTATAATCCTCCGGTGGGGGGGGGGACTCAGTGCCCCATTTTACAAATCAGAACACAAGGCACAGAGTAGTGAGTCATTAGTAAAACTTGTTTTCACTCAGACTGTAGCTCTTCCTCCCCTGCCCCTGCGAAGGAGCTGACGAGGGATGATTTGTCAGATACCATCCCGGGTACTATATGGGAGATCTTTCGTTCAGCCTTTCACAGTGGGTACACTGAAGCTTGGAAATTTTAGTAGTTGGCTCAAAGACCTGTGACGTCACTGTTCCTCTATTATCTGATCCCAGGTCTGTCTGATGTTTCTAGAAACAAGGCGGAGGTAAGGTCACCAAAGGTTATCAGAGTATCATTCTCAGTCTTATTTGTCCACAGAGTCAGCCACTGGGTGGGATTTGAGAGAAACCAGCAACACTCCTACGTCTGTTCTCTTGACTACCTTGAATGTTCATTTCTTTGGGGTGAACACTGTCCTCCCCCCAGATCCTTTTTCCAAAAGCAAATAGTCCTATGAAAGATTTTCCTGTGAAGTATTTTATAGAATCCTCCCAGCCCCTTTCCAACAATATAGAGAGGTGGGATTGGCAGGGACAGACAGGGTGCAGAAAGGCCTAAAAAGGAGAACAAGATCAAAATATGAGACCGGGTCACCGGAGACTCATTTCCCAAAGTCAGAATTTTGCCTGCAGCCATTTAGAGCATAATTTCAACAAACTTGACTGAGAATGAATGTGTATAATTAAGTTTCCATTCCCTCAGGCATGTCATACACATACCGACAAAGTATAAATAGCATTTTAATATATAGGACTAACGGCACAGCTCAATCTCAAACCTCAACAATTGTACTTTGATTGTCTGGAAACCACCGGTATTTCACATTTACTTCTAGAGTTTTCAAACAATTCTGCCCAAATGTCACATCTGGAAGGATCGTTGTTTGAAATTGAATTGTTTTTGGAAATCACTGGATGCCACGTTAAGGAATTTTCTGACCCAGCCTGTATATTGGCCAACTATTAGAGTCTGTTACTTATGATGTAGAGTTTTGTTTTGCAGCTTTGAATGATAAGAAAGACTCAGACAATCATTTGGAAATGCTGCTAATATTCAAGTATCTTCACGTACCTGATTTTTAAAAACTAGCTACTTAGTATTTGGATTATATGCTTGGCATTTGAATTATTGAATTGCTCATCCTGAGATACAAGGCTGAAAAATGTAAGTTAAAGAATAAATTCCACATTGGTTTCTGCTCCCAAAAGGAATATAATTTCTTAGCTGAGGTTGTTCCCCCCACCCCCTTTTTCTCACATTTGAGATAAATATTCTTTTGCCCCCAGTGTTTTGAAGGAGATTGGTTGGAAGGTGAGACTTGCCAAATTATTGTTAAGAATTACTTTCCTTGAAGAAAATGGTGGGAGGATGTCCCTGGTGTTTGGTTCTGGGCTTCTCTGTTTGGCATAATGCCTGACCTCGTGGCCATCAGATGACTTTCAGGTCACAGGTAAAATGAAACATCAAGGTAGAGCAAGAGAGGAAAAACTTACAAACTGAGAAAACCACTTAGTTTTTCCAGCTTTTATAGTTAGAGAGAGAAAAAAAAAAAGCATAGCTTAGATACTCTCCGACCTAAAACTTGGAATTTATGCTATTTCCAATGCTTGATTTTCTCCAGCTTATATGCTAAAGGGCCCCCCAGCTCAGAGGAGAGGCCAAAGAAGAATATTAGAATATTGATATATTGAAATATTGCAAACTTACTGAGTTCCTGGGTATATTAGACCCTTCTTCAATTTCTAGGACATTTCTTCCTTGTATGACAACCTCAAAGAGTTAACATGTTTTTAAAGATTATTTATTTGAGAGAGTGAAAGTGAGAGAGATCACAGAGGAAGAGGGGAAAGCAGCCTCCCAGCTGAGCAAAGAGCCTGATGTGGGACTTGATTCCAGGACTCCAGTATCATTACCTGAGCTAAAGGCAGATGCTTAACCTACTGAGCCACCCAGGTGCTCTGAGGTAAAAATTTGAAAGGGAAGTAGATGTAAGAAGGAGATGAATTATGTAATATAAAGGGAAAGCAAGAGACAGAGTCCTAAGTCAGACCCTATTGAAGCTCTATATAGGTTGAACTTCTATTCACAGGTTGTATTGCCTTCGGTGAAGTTCTAAGAATCTTGGGGGAGATCTTAGTTGTTGACCTTGGAATTTGGATTTCTGAGAACTGGGTACATCCATCCAGTCATTACTCAAAGATTTACTAAGTTTTTGCAGCTAGAAAACATGGATATCTGCTTGGGGCTGGAAGCAGGGAGGGGGAGGGACAGGGAGAAACAAGAACATGAAGACAAATGAAATTATTTAAGCTGGATTAATAATTCTTTGAGACTGTGGCATCTTGTAGCTTTGTTCATTTTAGGCCTGAATAATATTGGAATTTATTATATGTGATACTCTCCTCTCACAAAAGTTATAGTCAGTATATCTGTTTCTATAGGAGCAGAAAGCCACATATTGGAGCACCAGTGCAATGACTATCTAATATTGCTTTGGTCTTGGGACTCTGGAGGAGGTAACTCTGTCATGTTCTCTCCTATCACATATACAATTGCGATTTGAAGCTGATTTAAAAAAAATAATTATGTTAAACTGTCATTTGTACAGAGGAGCATTACTCTTCACGTTTTCATATTAGGAAGTGATACATCAATTTCACTGGTGATGCAGTTGCTCTAAAATTTGTAACTACTCCCCCCCCCACACACACACACTACACACATAGTCCACACAGGCAATATACACGCACAAATGCCTTTGGGCTGGCTTCTAGAACCAAGAATGCAGAAGAGAACTGGTGTGGTTACCTTATAGTTGTGCTTGGTACACCTGAGAGCCATGGGATCCAAGCATGCTTCCCTGATATGCAGACATGGTTGGCACCAAGGAAAGATGAAGACATGGCACACGGAGCTGGACATTAGTAGTTCAAATGTCAGCATCATCAAGGGGCAGTTTGTGAGGTCAATACTGGTCTCATGACATCAACACAGCTGAGGTGAATTGGGGCCACTGAAAGGGATTATAAAAGTGAGAACCCCCAGAAGGATCCCACTGAATGTTCCATCTACCATCTCCAAAGACTTCCAAGCCAGTCTTGCGTTTGGGAATCATAGAGGCAAATGGTTCCAGGAGTTTTAGTCTTGATTTGTGTCTTGATGAAGACACAAATGACCAAGTAGACTCTTAAAAATAACCTTTTTCTCCCTATGCCTCTCTTTTCTATCAGATAGGCTTGATAAGCTTGACTGGCATTTCATTAAGAACATATGAGGTATAAGTAAACAGATCAAAGTTGGCTCATCTTCCCATTAGCAGCCTAAAACTTGCCTTATCTGCATGCAACCTCCTCTGGATATTGTGCAGGTATGAAATCCTACCCTCCCAGTGTGCTAGGATCCCACTCACTGCTGTGTGTTTCTTCTTCAGGCTTCACACTTTGCCCTATGACCTCTCCTGTTTCTTCAACCTCCCTCTCTCCACTGAATCAGGATTCTAAACATTCACATATGATCTGGAGGTTCCCATCTTCTAAAGAAGCCTCTCTTAACCCAACATCTCTATTTCTAACTTACTCATTATTTCTCTCCTGGTCTTCAAAGCCAAACTTCTCAAAACACATCCTACTGTTATTGGTTCTAGGTAGTTTCACCATAAGTATTTTTTGCAAGCATTTTTTTTTTTTGCTGCATAACTAATTGGCTGTAAGACAATTTTGCCATAAGAGATAAAATAATGAAAAACAAAAGAAGAAACAGTAAAATGGACATAATGAAGCTTAAAAGTAATAAAATTATTCATTTCTTCCTTCATTAAAAAAGGTATCCGTTTTCCAAATACAAGGATGCATATTTGAAACTGAGCTTTGCATTGCATTGTGAAAGCCTTCTATACTGTTCATTCTTGGTATATTGTCACATACTCTGTCTATAGATGTTCCAAAGTTCTATGGGAAACATGGAAGAAATGCTAACACTCTGATGCATTTGTTGCTGGGCTTTGTTATTATTGTCACTGATACATTATCATTTTCTGGTATGGTATAACGCACAGTCTGGCTTCACACTCTCTTCTTTCACACTTCAAATAAGTTTTATCACCCTATTTTCTATCAAGTCTACATATGGTGTTGTTATTCACTATTTTAAGATCACCACATCTATTCGTCACCGTATAGAGTTTTATGAGGGCTAGGTAAGATTTATGTAATATAAAAATTGGAACTTTGTCAAGGAAGAAATGAAACCAAACTATTAACCAGTTATTTTGTCTTTTACAGCCAATTAGTTATGTAGTAAGAACGTTTGCAGCAAAATGCTTGGGGCAAAGATGTCTGTGGCAAAGATGCTCATGGCAAAAATACTGGACATGATTTTCATCATCCACACACTCCGGAACCACCACCACTACACGGAATGTGTCCTTTCCAAGGTTATGAGACTCAATCCACATTGACAAGTTGAATAGGTATTTTTTTACCTTTATCCTACTCCACCTCCCAGTATCCCACACTGCTTTCTACACTCTTGTGTGTGACATTTTCTGCAGTGTTTCCAGGCTCTCATTCTCCAGCTCCTCCTCCTCTAACCGCTAAATCATGTAATGCCTTAGGGCTCAGCCTGTGTCTCCTTTTCCAACCCAATACTCATTCTGATGACTTTATGTATATATTAATAATGCACAAATATATGTCCCAGTCCAATCTTCTCTTTTGAGACCCAGACTTATATATTCAGCCTGACTTAACCACTTAGATATCTCGCCAGCATTTTGAATTTGTTGTGTGCATGAAGGAACTACTGGTCTTAACCTCCAAGATCCTCCTCTGTCTCCAGTCTTGCCATCTTAGAAAATGACACCAGAGCACTTGCTCGAGCTAGAAGTCTGAGAGTCATGCTCATCCTCTCCTCACACCTTCACATCCCAACTACCACCAAATTCTGTCCAATATTCCTCATCTCTGTCTTTGCTACCAATATCCTTGGCCAAGCTTTCATCTGCTTTCAGCTGGATCCCTGCAAGAATCACACAATTGATAACCTACATCCACTGGGCAGCTTCAGGGACTATGTTGTTTCTACAACCACATCTTGTGTGCCTGTCACCCCCTTCATCAGGCTCTGACTAACCTATCTTTGGCCAGAACGTCTCTTCCTCTTACTATTCCCTTCTCCCCACATCTTTACTCTTGGCTAATTCTTTCTTACCCATCACATCTCAGCTGAAATGTCACTTCCTTCCAGAGGTTTTCTCTAACTAAGATCCTGAATGTCAACCTCTCATCATTAGACACTATCATATCACAATTTGGAATTCTATATTTATTTATATTTCCTATTTCCTCCATAAGAATAAAAACTCCATAAGATCAGGAAGTGTATCTTCTTTATGACTCTATATATAGTACTCAGTCCAATACCTAGCAATAAATATTTGCTGAATAAATACACTTCTGTCCTCTGTCTTCTTAACACTTATACTCTTTTTGTATCCCACACATGCCATATCTCTTAGACTTGAAATGATAGAGTCTTTGGAATTATATCTGGTTCTGACACCCACTACCAAACTCACTATGTTGTTTAACCTCAATCTCCCCAGATAGAAAGTGGGAAACTTTTATCTGTTATGGTAATATTATGGAATATTAAAATATTAAATATTTATTTAATATTAAATATTAAAATATTAAAATGAGATCATGCACATAAGGGAACTCAACAACAAAAAAAATCAGTTTCCTTTCTTCCATGCTTTCTTATACACTCTAAATACTTTTGACCCCATAGATACAAATGTGCAAACACACTTGAAAAGGTAAGAACATGCATCCTTCCCTTCTGAGTCTTTCTGATGGTGACATGCCGATTTAGAGTTTTGCCTTTAGAGAATAAGTTACTTAGCCACAGAACAGCATTAACAATGTTAAAGCAAATATATAGCTGCCGATCTAAATAACTGCAGTGTGTATTATATGGGCACTTTCTCAAATATATTTGGAGGTAACAGGAGATTTTTGACAGCATACAGACCATACTTTAAAAGAAAACAGCAGATGGCAGCACCAGATGCTAGAGATGTGTCTGGTGGGATTTTTAGCTCAAATCTAAACATCTAGGATGCCAAAGGTAACTTAAAACTAGATTCAGAGAGAATCATTTATAAAAAAAAAAAAAAAAAAGATAATTTCCCTAAATAAAAACATGCCTGCTTTGTAATATAGTATGGGATTTTTAGGAACAATGTTTCACAGGGTATAAGCAAAATTCCAAGAAAATAACCACATGCATTATCTAACTAATAAAAGGTAATGAGACAAAGCTTCATTTTGGTTTGTCATTACATTTAATTAACTACTGATCTGTGTTCCAATTAGCCAGAAATGACCTGAAATCCAAGAATGAAAGATGATTGGCTTCTAGGAAAGGGCAACATTTTCCCCAAATATTAAATTCAAGCATTAAAATTTATTCACTCATATCAAGATAAGGAGTAATAATGACCTTTATTACTATACTCCTGAGCATCACTTAGGCAATTGTTTATTAAAATGTTTACTGAAATATTAGGCTTACTAAAGAGACTAGAATTTAATAGATTACATAAATGAAATATTAACACTTAAAATGTTAATCTATGCATACCTGTATTATGCATCCAAATTTCCTCTGGACTTATCACCACTTTTATTTATTAAAAAATATTTATTTATTCATGAGAGACACAGAGAGGCAGAGACATAGGCAGAGGGAGACACAGGCTCCCCGCGAGGAGGCTGGGTATGGGACTCCATCCCAGGATCCTGGGATCACACCCTGAGCTGAAGGCTGACGCTCAACCACTGAGCCACCTAGGTGTCCCTTATCACTACTTTTAAATTCTTGCTTAGGTGGATATTGCTTACACAGGTTTTCCCTTTTTTTGGAGGAAAGAAAGAATGATTCAGCTCCTGATACTATCTAATGCAGATGCAGCGACTCCAAGGCAGTCACACCTTTGAAATAAAGATCTTTACTTCCTCTGCTTAGCATCCTTCACAGCTTGCCTACGAGATCAGAAAGGGTACATTCAGGCCTATATTCTGGAAGAGAAGCAACGGGATAATTCGAGCGCATACGGTGGTTCATTGGGCAAAGCAGAGCGAAAGCAAAATGTCCACAGATGTCTCGGAGAAGAACTTGTCTCAGGCGGTATTTATTTGCGTGCAGATTTGATTGAAGGGTAACAGGAGCCCCTGTGTCATAAGAGAACTGAGCCAGTCTATGTCGGAGGAACATTCTGAGTGGGGAGGGCAATTCACTCTGCCAGCAAGACTTAGTCATTGTTGCCCAACTGGAGTGAATTGTTTTCCAAGCACTATGATCATGGTTCTGAAAATACTTTTCCTCACCTGAATTCTCTACCAGATTGAACCCCCGAGAGCATTAGGCATGATTGCTGATTCTGATCAAGGATTCTAGAAGGAAATTGCTCTGATTGACAAGAGAAGAAGCATACATCTGAGCTGTGAAAAGAATGGCTGTGTGTCCTAGCCAAAAGTTGGCTGTCACAGGCAGATGAAATATTGCAATCTAATAGTGCACAAAGCAGAGATCTTCATGAGAAGTGGATTATTTCCCATAGTGTCTAAACTTTGAATGATACAAAAAAATTGTACTACCTAAATTTTAAATGACACAAACAAAGAAAAACAGCCATAGATGAAATGGTAACTGAAAGAGAAAACCATACTACCTGGGAGAGGTTTCCTGCTGAAAACACTATGGAATGGCAAATATCTTTCCTAGGGAAGAAATAAAGTCCATGCCTCTCTGATGCCTGCCACTTTTGTCCATTTTAATTAATCCAAGCTTGCTTTAAGTCTGGCAGCTAAAGGGACCCTATATTGGATGACCTTCCTAGGCCCTCCACGAAAGCCTGTGTGATCCTCAAACAGGCCAGCACATATCCAACAGCACCGAGAGCCAGTTTCTCACTGACACGCGCCTTCCCAGGCCTGGGAGCAGGGTTGGTTGTGCTGTGACAGAGCCACGTCCCCTAGATGCCCCTGTTCTGATGGAAGTCCACTACTTTGATCTAAATGCCCAAGTCACCGAGGGCCATCGCTGACCTCTCCCTCTGACATCTCCCCTCCAGATGCCTGGGTGAGTCAGGAAGTGTCTTCCTGTGAAGCCAGGGGCCCAGGCCAGCCTTCTTTAGCAGTCGTGACTGAGTGGGAACACGCCGTGCTCAGCCTGCTGGCACAAAGTATGTGTTATAACAAAAAGCACAAGAATCCTGACCACACTCTTCCCTATCTCGAGATCTGTACTTAGAACATGTGAAGCAAATGCATACAATCAGGAAACAGGGCGGCAAGTCAGAGAGCTAACGGACTTGCTGATTTGCGGCTCCGAGCCATGAAGTCTTGTGTTCTCTGAATCCAGACCCCACACGTTTTGGAAGAAAAGCAACAGCCAGAAGATGGGAAAAACAGATCATGTTTATAAGACCAGCCTGCAGCTCATGCCACATTTAAGAGTTTGGGTTTTGATTTTAGCACAGAAACTAGCCATTCTTGCTTCAGTGTTCATCAGAAAACTTGCCCAGTATCTCTCAGTCTGATTCTTTGGCTTTAGGATCATTGTCTTGGAATCTTCTAAACCAGTACATTTCTAGTCATTTCATTTTAAACATGAAAGTTAGGAAAAAGTACTAGAAGTTTGCCAATGTAATGCAACAAAAAAACAAGGAAGAAAAGTTGCATTAAAAATAAGGCTGCTTCCTGTTCCCCAAACTTAGTCCTTCTGGTTAACTCTTTTAGAATGGCTTGGGTAACTTCAGTTTCCCCAAGCAGTCCATTTAAAGGCAGGGGTGCCTGGCTGGCTCAGTCAGGAAAGAATGTGACTCAATCTCAGGATCGTGAGTTCGAGACCCACATCGGGAATGGCACCTACTCTAAAAAAAAGAAAGAAAGAAAGAAAGAAAGAAAGAAAGAAAGAAAGAAAGGAAGGAAGGAAGGAAGAAAGAAAGAAAGAAAGAAAGAAAGAAAGAAAGAAAGAAAGAAAGAAAGAAAGAAAGAAAGAAAAAGAATCCCTACAGGATTTGCTTTAGATAGCCAACCATAGAGAAAAGATTTTGACCACTTCCTATTTCTCATGATTTGACATTCTGTAAGGAATGACACAAAACAGTGCATCCACGTCCTGTGCTGCTTGGCAGGACAAAGCACACAGACCACATCGTGTGGATAGCCACCCTCATAAACATTCTTCCCCAGTTGTAGTTGATGGTGAACCTTCAGGTAAACAATACTTCACCATACCAGTTGGAGACCCATGGAGTCATGCTTATTCCCAGGTGCCCAAGTGGGGAGCAGCGCCTCGGGTCCAAACCAAACACAGGGCACAGAGCAACAGTTCTGAGTGCTGCCCAAAACCATGAATCCGCACCTCTTTGCTTTGGAGTATGCCCTGGGGCTAATCTCCCACATATCATAATCATGGAAGTGTTAAAAGAAAACATGCTGTATCTGAAGAGCACATCTATTTCTGTAAGTGCTCCACTGCTTAATTGTTGATAAAGTCATTTGGGGTTTTTGACATAGATTCTATTTTAGTAAGATAAACTCAGCATAATGTGGTGTTGCCAAAAATGAATTCCTAAGGTAGATGACTAAAATAAACTGGTAATAAATATTGGCTGTTGGAATGGGAATTATATCTCTGCAATGTAGACACAGCATTAATGACTCATTTTCAAATAACAGTCTCTCCCAAGGATTATTGGTATGAGGAATCAGGGAAGAAAGACGTCCATCTCTCTTTTAGACAGCAGAGTAGAAGATGGCAATAAACCTACCAGGCAGGGATGTTCTTATATCTACTTTGTCAACAGAGATATAGGGCCCGGGGATCCCTGGGTGGCGCAGCGGTTTGGCACCTGCCTTTGGCCCAGGGCGCGATCCTGGAGACCCGGGATCGAATCCCACATCGGGCACCCGGTGCATGGAGCCTGCTTCTCCCTCTGCCTGTGTCTCTGCCTCTCTCTCTCTCTCTCTGTGACTATCATAAATAAATAAAAATTTTAAAAAAAAGAGAGATATAGGGCCCAACAGGGGTCATCTTGGATAGGCTGCAATGAGGCAGACATTTGGCATTGAAAGAAACCATCTTAGGGGTGGAGGTAGCTGAGTCTCGGGATAGTTTTCTCTCAATCCCTTGGAGGTAGAATGTACCCCCAGGTCCACCCAATGCATCTCATGTGGCATGAATTACCTTATCAGTCACAGTGGGTGCTGCCATGTTCCTTGGTTGCTTGGAATTAGTGGACTCTTTTAGGCCACCTTTACTCCCTAAAGTCAAATTCTGAATTTTTTGCCCACTAGGTTGAGCTTTACAGCTTCTCTGGTGTACTGGAAGGCAGTCTGGGGCAAAGGTCCGGCAGCAATTTGGACAGGGCACCAGCTGTGCTTGAGTTGACCCTTCTTGGTTGGACAGTCCAGTTGAAAGTGGCTGGCGCTTCTGTGGGAGTGGTCGGCGATGCTCCCTGGGGAGCCGGTCATTTTCTATTTTCCACTTTTCCAGGCATTTGGGCTCATGAATGGGAAGGGACAGAGTGCCAAATTCCCTACCACAAATGTAGCAGATGAGAGTCTTTGGTCGAGCTGGGATGCCACTAGAAGCTTTCTTGGGACCAGCAGGATCATCAGAACTGGTGGGGTTTGGTGCTCTGGGTCTATCACCCTTTAGCTTGCAGCTTCTCTGGTGAACAAGAAGGCTATCTGGCAAGAATGTGCGGCCACAGGATTCGCAGGGCAGCAGCTGAGCTTGGAAACTTTGGTATGCTGCCTCATTCACTGCCTGAAGATTATAGGACCCAGTGCCCCCAAGAGGCTGTGGTTTGGAGGGTTCTGGCCTTCTCAGGTGCTTAGGCAATTTGCTATTTTCAATCCGCCACTTCTCCAAACACTGAGGTTCATGAATGGCAATTGATTGTGACCCAAATTCTCGGCCACAGATATAGCACACCCGGAATCCAGGCCTGCGGGAGGGGATCACTGGGGGCTGGGCTGACCTTCTGACATAATTCTCCAACTAGACCGTTTTGAGAGTATCACTGTTCCAGGTCTCATTTTCTGAGGTCCTGTCTTTATTTTTCTAGCAAGACTGACATGCTCTGTTTCTGGCAAAAGGCTAGAATGGGAGTCACTACATAGAATGGCTTGGTTGATAAGGAAGGTGGGTTCTTTAGAATGGTGGAAAGTCTGTTGCAATTTGTTGCAAACCCTTTTCTCCTTTCCTGTTTCCATTAACAAGCAAGTCTTTCTCTATGCTTGCTCTGATTTCAGGCCAGATTCCTTTTGGGATTCTGCTCAGAGTGAAGGTTAGTCAGGTTGGCTGTCCTGGGGTTCCACATTGTTGCCAACTCCTTAGACCCAAAGACCATGACTCAGAGCTTCATTGCAGGGCAGCAGTCTGGAATGCTGGAAAGTCCTCATTAAACCTCAGATGCCTCCAAGATCTGTGGGGGAAACATAAATTAAGAACTTATTACACACACACACACACACACCACACACACACTTTTTAGATTGTAAGTTGATAAAGAACAGTCATTTTCTTTTTTTTACCTAGTATCCCCTTTGGCTAGATAATAACTAGCACATAAATTTTTTTCAGCAAATGTTGAAATAAACGTGAAAAAAATTTCCACTATGAATTGCACTATTACTATATTTAAAGTCGTGTTCTGCCCAAAGAAAGATCGACAATTACAGTATATCATAGACACACGCGGCATAAACTTACAGAGGCATGGTGGTAAGATCACAGAAGACAGAACTAGAAACTATGACAATGAGATTAATAAAACTGCAGATAATGTAAAAAGACCTTCTTCCTTTTTTTTTTTTTTAAAGATTTATTTATTTATTCATGATAGACAGAGAGAGCGGGGGGGGGGGGGGGCAGAGACACAGGCAGAGGGAGAAGCAGGCTCCATGCAGGGAGCCTGATATGGGACTTGATCCCGGGACCTCAGGATCACGCCCCGGGCCAAAGGCAGGAGCTAAACCGCTGAGCCACCCAGGGATCCCTAAAAAGACCTTCTTCCATTCCCTTAGGGATTCTTAACTTTAAAAAAAGTTTTTTAATTTAAATTCAATTAATTAACATATAATGTATTATTGGTTTCAGAAGTAGAGGACAGTGATTCCTCAGTCTTATATAACACTTGGTGGTCATTATTACATCACGTGCCCTCCTTAATGCCCATCATCCAGTTACCTGTCCCTCTGCTGACCTCCCCTCCAACAACCTTCAGTTTGTTTCCTAGCCTTTTAGTGCCATGATCCTTTTGACAGTTCTCTGAAGCCTATTATTTTAAAGGCAAAAAATAAAAATCTTACTATCACAAGTGAAATTAATTTAATTGAAATAGTTAATCGAATATCTTTAGTTGCAATATATATTTTATTCAAGTTATAGTAATATGCCATACCTAATGAATGCCCCTTAGCCTAAAGTTAAAAGCCCCTGCAGAAGGAATTCAATAGTGAATATAATGAGGATTGTCAGGAAACCCCACAGAGGGGTTAAACTTCATATAACCTACCATGTATCCACTTTTTTTTATGAGAGTGGAGTATGAATAAATTGGGGCCATAAATTTATTTTGGCCCCAAAGCTAAGAGTGCAACCCCAGCCAATACTATTCCTGGTAAAATATCTGTAGATATCCCCAGAGATGAGGATGCTCAGATTTTACTTGATGTTTTTATATAGCTATTGTACTAAATTCTTTGTATTATCTCTATCTGTACCTACATCTATACAGCTAGAGAATATAGATACTAGTTAAATATTGGATAATTCAAATAATATACAATTGGATAAATATTATCTATTTATAAGTATAGTTATATATTACATATTATTATATAATATATAACTAAAATAGAAGATAGATAATATCTGTCATATAAAAATATACTTTATATTTATATATTATATATTGCTATATATTATATTTATAATGTATTATTTTAAATTACTTTAATTATCAATAATAAATTATTAATATATTATTATACTTAATCACATATAATTATATACTACATAATATAGTAGATATTATCTATCTATCTTTCAAATAATTTTTGTAAAAACATGGCTCATGATTTTCCAAACAAACAAGAAAGGCTAGCTGATAAAATCTAGTTATGGGCAGAAGGCCAGGGAGTTTTTACCTTGGGGAGAGGCATAAATGAATTTCATCCAGGGTGAAGATTATTGTCTAGGCCCCAAGAAAGATTATTGTCAGAAGTCTTAAGGCCTTCTTCATTCCCTGAAGGGACACTCAGGTCTGGATGGGAGGCTCTGTATCACTCACGCCCAATCACAAAGGGAGCAGCGCCTGATCTGAGGTTAGACTGTGGACCACAGCAGACACCTGAGTTCGGGCAGTACAAGGACAGCCTGCTGATAATTTCAAAACACTGGGCATTACATTTGATAAGGGACAAAAGAGCTGTAAGATCCATGCCTAGTTCCTGTATATTTTGGTGCTGAGGAAGGTCTGAATCTTTGCAAATAAGACTATCAGATCAGTTCTGGCACAGAAGAGGAAGTGATTCTTCATTTTGACAGATCCTAAGACAGTGATATTAATACATGTGACAAAAGAATGCATTGGCCCCAGGGTAGCTAGCACAGAAAATTAAGCTCACAGAAACAAAATGTATCACCTGGCTGGCACCATCCAAAAGAGAAAGTGGATCTACAAAACAGAAGGAATTAAGTAAACTGATTTCATTAGGTTTTTATTGGTACATAAGGGAAATAACCCCAAATCACTCTGCTTTGTTGTTTTTCACGTCTTGTTTACCAAGGACCTTTGTTTTCCTTTCCCACTTTCCTTCATACCAGGAAGTTGCAGATAACAAAAGGACTTAAGAAGACAGGAAAAATCAATGCATATAAATAATCTTACTTCCCCTAAACTTGATCACAGTTTCTCTTACACACACACACACACACACACACACACACACACACACACTGCTCCCAGCTGATCAGAATACTGGGAGACGCCCCATAACTTGCCTCAGCTACTCCTATCTCCCTTAGGATCAGGTAAGAGGACTAATATTTACTGAACCCTAACTATGTATCAGGTATTGTACTAATTTTTTATGTACACAATTTCAATTAATTCTCAAACGAAGGCCAATATGATTGTTTCAGTTTTATAAATGAAGACACTATGAGTCAGAAGACACGTAACTTCCCCAACTTAAAAACTAGTCAGTTTTTAAATGACAAAACTGAAAACCAATTCCAACTCTCTTTGGCTCTAAGAGTCAGTCAGCTCTTTCCATGATTCATTCTGCCTCAAATTCCACTGACAGAGCTTCTTCTCTTTAGTTTTTATCCCTGTTTTAATGCATGATTCATCTGCTTCACCTGAAGGTAACTAAGCTCCCACCAGCTTTTACACTGCCCTTGAGAAAAGAGGAGAAAGGGAAGAGGGAAACAGGGCGCAGGAGGAGATAAGCCTCTGAGATGGAAAAAGCAGGAGAGACAGACTGGGAATACTGGAGACAGCATCTTTCCTGAAGCAACAGGACTCATTCTATTTTGCTGGAAGTGGCTCTGGCATCGTGTGCAATAAGGGTTCTTTTCCTGATCTCACCAACAACCTGAGAGAAATCTACATTACTATCCAGGAGAGGGGACAGGCGAGGGGGAATTGGGGTGCAGGGTGAAAGCCAAGGCAGCTCCAAAAGGCCAGATGATCTTCCCTTTGCACCGACCTCACCATTTTGATTACGGATGGATCTTCATGCATACAGGCATTTTTGTGCTGTAGATACTTTCTCTGCAGCAAACATGAGAGTGTCATCATATTCCTAATTGTAACTTCATCCTTTTTTCTACCATCTTTTTCCTCCTTCAATGTTCTCCTGAAGTTGCTTAAAGCTATCAAAAGATGAAAGATGAAATACCTGGAAGAAGTGAAATTTTGGGGAACTGCAGTGTCTTATGGAGAGCCTTACCATGTTTCTTTCCACCAACAATTCTGACAAGGCCTAAGCAGCTCTCTCCTATAAGTTAATTCTACAAGCAAAACTACTGGAAAATACGAAATACATATAGTTAAATCACTTAAGAAATTGGCTTGCCACGCAGACACATCATAAAGCAACATTGCAAGCTATAAAGAGAACTACTTTGCAAAGCCAGTCAGCTTTACCCCAAGCAACCGTGGAGAAACATTCACTCCAATTGGTCTGAATTATTCATTTTGACGATATTTGCACAAAGGATGTTTAAAGAATGTCTTAGAAGGCATCACATTTTATCAATATGATGCCTTTTTTCCCATGCCTTTTGGGGTTCATGAGAAGGAAAAGACACTCAAAAGATGAATATAATAACCATGGAAATCCAAACCCCTGTTGGCATGAGAAGGTGTTTCCCTATAAAAAGGGGTAGGGGGACAGAGCACAACCAAAGGATTAAATCTTAAAAAAAATTTAGTCTTTTGAAACAAAATAGAAGTGATATATGACCCCTTCCCTGTTAGTATAGCATCCAAAGTCTTTAAATGGACAAATGAATAAATAAGAAAGATGGAGATGCTGGCTCTGAGGAAAATTATAAAATACAGAAGGTTTGTCTTTAATATCCTCTATCCACCCCATCCAGCAGGCTCCATTCTCCCCCACCTGGCATCCTCATATGCTTGCCAGCCAGCCTTCCTTACTTTTGAAATCTCGCTTTCAAAAAGGAGCTGATAGACTTACTCGCACCAAGCCTTACGATTGATGAGGTAATATCCCTCCCAGTGTCTGGCAGAGACAACTAGTTCCCCACCAGTAGTTATTCTGCCCAACTTCCTCAAATTAAGAGAGCCCCAATTTTTAGCTAGGCACATGATTTCCCAGCTAAAAGTCTGCAAGCCTCTTTGCAGGACTGTGTAAGACATGTCTGCAACCTGTTCCTCTTCCCTTCCTTGATACTGATGTTTAAAGCTGGATGTGATGGATGGATGTGATAGCTGGAGCTTTAGCAGCCATCATGGACCAGACTATATTCATGTGACCCCTAATGTGATGGAGCAGAAATTTAGATGGACTTGAGTCCCTAAAAAAGGTGAAGTCACCATACAGGCTCTCAAGTGTCACCCTTGGCCTTTATTTACATAAGATAAATAAATATCTAATTGTATTTTAGCCACTTTCAAGGAGTCTTTTCCTTGCATCAAACCTATCTGTAAGGCCTAGTTCTAATGAGATGCAGTTGTATTTTAATAGCTGCCATTGGCTTAGCACAAAATGAATTTTAACAGTGATATTTCAAGCATCAGGATCTTCTTTTTTGATGAGTGAATTTTTTTTGAAAGAGTGCATGTTTGAGGTAAAAAATGACTTATTAAATATGTACTTTTTTCTGAAAATCAGAAATAAATTG